TTGGGCTGTAACCCGTACATTTTTAAAAGTCGTTTGTTTATCAGTCTTGTTTTTAATCTGTCTTGTGCTATGTTCACATGATGGTGATGAACATGACTTTTCTGGGTTCAGTGTTAAAAAATAAAACGAAATCAAAATCCATCTACTTGTATAGACATAGCTCTGCCTACTTTGTAGGTCAAAAGATGGTTAAAAAGATGCACAGATATTACTACCTAAATTACCGTAATACAAATGCTTTTTCAGAGGGAAAATCCCTTATGATGTCAGTAAAGCCCAACTTCCAGAGAAGTTCATTCTCAGTGGAAGTGCACGTGAGATCATTTAGTCTTTGTTGCCTCATAACTGTTGACCGCAGTCTGTTCTAATTCAAGGACAGTTTAGAAAAAGTCTTATCCGCAGGATAATGGAAGTGCACTTCAATAACACAATGCTCTGTCTGTTCTCACATATGAGCACAGGAAGCAAAATTAAACTAAACTATTTTGTTTGCATTATTCTTATTTTAAAATCAATTTGGAAAAAATAAAATCTTCTAAATTAATAAGCTGAATGCAAATGCAATAAAATAAAATGCATGCAAATGCAGTTTTTAAAGAAAACTACGGAAGCCCGTTTCCGCCACTGAATAAAAAATAAGAGGTAATTGCGACTTTTTATCTCACATTTCTGACTTTTTTTCTCAGAATTGCGTGATATAAACTCGCAATTGCGAGTTAAAAAGTCATAATTGAGAGATATAAACTCGCAATTCTGAGAAATAAAGTCTAGGAGCCTCGGTATAAACTCACAATTCTGAGAACATATCAGTCTTTTTCCCCCCTCAAAATTGGACTTTAACTCGCAATTGCGAGTTTATATCTCATAATTCTGTGAAAAAAAGCCAGAATTGTGAGAGAAAAAGTCGCAATTACCTTTTTTTAATTTTTTTTTAATTCAGTGGCGGAAACGGGCTTCTATATAAAACAGATTCTATCATTCTAAAAACTGAATTAACCTGTTTCCCATATCTAATCTCACATGCATAACAAAGAAGTTTTTGTTGCTGTGCTTCATGAGCTTTGGTGATAATTAAAGGTGCTGTATTTATTTATTGTGGCTCCACAAATTACAGAGGTCTTGACCAAAATAAAGACTGGTATGTGTGTGTCTCTTAGATAAATGCATGTTTGATATTAAAAGTGTTTCATAGAGATGTCCTGTTGACATATATTGTGAAAGGTGGTCTGAGCTCGTAGGCTGCAGTACTGTGCAATTCTCAGGAAACACATTTCACACACACACACTTTGATCTCGGAGCATTGACCTCATGCTGATTTAGGTCATAAGTTCATTTTCTGAGTCAGATCTCTATGACCCTCTTTATAAATGAAAGATCACTTACCTTTCTGTTTCCTGTTACAGACGGATCAGCAACTTTTGCGCTTCAGCATCATATCGAAACTTTCTTTCTAAAAAAAATGAATAGACCTTTTGTTAACAATTGGTATAAAGAGGCTTTAAATAAGGGCGTCATTTCACAAAGAGACAACAATACTTAAAACAGTATTGGCAGGCTTCCCTTCGCAGTCCTTCCTGTTTCCCAAGAGTTATGGTTTCACAATCATGAATAAACATTTATAACATGATCTTAATTTTTAATGCATAATGATACCATGCAGTATCATTATGCATTAAATATGAACTTTTCATAGGGGAACTAATATTAGTGTAACAGAAGTAGTAGAATTTTTGAGTGAAAGGTCAAACCTTGGGGTATTTAACAACAGACAAACTCCATTCTGCAATATCCAATACCTCCTTACAATATGAAAAATACAAACACAAATGTATTTTGATGCTTTGTGTTTATTCTCAACAAGGAGTGACACTTCACAAGGTTTCTCCAATGCAGGACTAAAAGCATCTGCTAAATGACTAAATAAAAATAAATAAAGTCTTTCAGTAGCGTGGTCACTTCTGGTCCATATCTGTTTTGAGGAGATCTATCGATTCCCTCTCACATCCCGACGCCTCTTTGATGAGGATTCTGGGATGGGTGGCCGGGATTGACGGCTCATGGTTTGAACATAAAGATCTGGCTCCATTTTTAAAATGATTCACCTCCGGAATTAAAAAAGTTCATAAAATGGTTCTGAAATGAAGATGCAGAAGATGAACTACAAGAAGAAACAGGGTTTAAGGTCTTACTTGATGCAAAACAGTGTTTGCGGTCAAACTGTCAGGAGAAACATCTGACAGTCTGCAGGTTGGACAAAGGTGTCCGTCAGACTCCAGCAGACACGTTCTGATACCTGACACCAAAAGATTGTCAGAAACAGCCTGTTTGCTTCTAACTGATCTTTGTTTGATCAGACACTCACATTCATCACAGTAGCTGCTCCTGCAGCACTTCATGTGCAAACACTGAAGTTCATTACAGTGCAGCAGAGTGCATTTCTCATTGTTTTCAATACCTTCAGAAGCAGATCCAGTGAAACTGGTGAAGAATCACCAACCTGCTGCTAAAATAAACATGAACACAAGAGGAGTTTTACCTCTGTGACGAGACACAAGGCTTATTTAGGACAATAGTGAGGTCAGTCAGTCTAGAGTTTGGAGACCAGAGACATGAACAAGACACAAAGAGACATAGATGAGACATGAACAAGACACGCAGAGACGTAGATGAGATATGAACAAGACACGCAGAGACATAGATGAGACATGAACAAGACACACAGAGACATAGATGAGACATGAACAAGACACGCAGAGACATAGATGAGACATGAACGAGACACGCATACATAGATGAGACACGCAGAGACATAGATGAGACATGAACGAGACACGCAGAGACATAGATGAGACATGAACGAGACACGCAGAGACATAGATGAGACATGAACGAGACGATCGTCTACAGAAACCCAATCAGAATGAAGACGCACAGCCTTGACCGTCAGGGAATTAATAATAGTTTTATTGTGTAATGTTGCAGTAATCATACAGCAAATGTGGTTATTCATACAGAAAATGTAAAGTAAAACTGAACAATAGTGCATATAGAATGAAAATATTATTTAAAACCGTTCAGTGGAATTGTATGAAGGTAGAATGACGTCAATAAGATTTGCATACGCAGGGTAAGAGTTGTGGAAGTGTACATAAGACTGTAAGCGTAAATTAAATTTGCCTGCGCAACAGGAGCTTTCAAAAGGTGTAAATATTCTTTGAGTGACATTAAATATATCAAAATACCAAAATATTACTATCTGACTCCATGTCATGGTAACACTACGGCAGTAGTACAGCAGCAGATTCATAAACGTAACTGCTTATTGAATATAAAAGCATTAATTTATGTTCTAAATGTTTAAGGTTAGTTTGATGTGAAGCTGAACTCGCCTTCATTGGTTTGTATTTGATATGTTTAGTTTAGTTTAGTTTGTGGAGCTGAACTCACCTTCATTGGTTTGCGCGCTGCTGATCTGCAGGTCAGAGCTTCAGTCTCTCGCGTCTCATGATTTGTCGTTTTAACTCTCTCACAGTGATGTGAACGCCGTCAAAAACGGGATCGTGTCGTGACTGAGTTTACTTCGAAACTTATAATGAACACAAGGCATGTTGTTGACACCGTTCTTGTGTTCAGATTTCACCACACAAAATAAAACTGGTCTAAACGATCACAATCGCGGAGGGAGAAACCAAAGATCAATCGATTAACTGATGAGGCGGTCGGTCGGGTTTACAGAAAACGCACAGAACGTTGCCATGGATACTGATCAAGCGCGTCCAATTTAAATCCGCAATGACGCGATACGCACCTGAACGCTGAACAACTACAACGGACATCCAGCAACCATCTCTTCCGTTATTAGAAAAAAAAATTTCTTCAAATTATTTTTCACATTCTATTTATATAAGCAAACAAAATCCGTCCATCCGTCCTCCAAACCGCTTGTTTTAGGGGATTTTTGCAAAGTAATGTGTTGTATTTTCCCGTAAACGTCTGTATACGTTTGCGCACAGCCCAAGAAAGACCAATTTATTTAACTATATTTCATAATTTTATCAGTCAATTAAATAAACAGTAGTAACCTATAAAAACATCAATTAAACAGTCTCCCAATTACTTTTTATTTTTAATGATACATTATTCCTTTAATGTACTATTATAAAGTGTTATTTTTTCTTCAGAATTGCATGCAAAATAATATTTTCACTTGATCGGAAGTTTCTAATATTGGTTTTAATTAAAAAAAATGTGAGGGTTGTGTTCAAACCATTTTGAATTACTACATAATATTGCTGACTTTTTGCTTTGCTCTAAAAACATTAGGCACTTGCTTTTTAACCATATATTTAATATATGATTAAATATATGGTTCAAAAAGCAAGTGCCTTTTTATTATTATGATTATTATTTTTGATTTGTTCAGAATTATTTTTAAATCATTTGTGCAACATTACCCTTTAATTTTTTACTTTATTACAAATACATTAATTATTATTATTATTATTAAGAATACTGTAAAAAAAAAAGAAAAAAACACTTTCCATTCTGCTGGCTTTGGTATGCTGGTGGTAACCACAACACTGCTCTGTGGTCTTATTATCCAGAAGATGAAAATATTATTGAAACATTAACAGTGAAATAAAATGCAATACATTTAAATCAGTAAATCTAGTTACTTGCTGTTTAATGCAGTAAATGTTGAATATGAATGAAAAAAGACACCCCAGTATAAGAAACACATCAGCTCACATCTTTTACTGATGCACATGAATGATTTTTACAAAATACATGCATGGAAGTCCTAGAGCCTCTGCATTCAGAAGTGCAGTGAGAACGAGGCTCAAGTTTGAAAGCAACACGAGAGGCAGAAGAAACGTGCCGGAAGCTCAAGATTTCTTAAATTAACTACATACAACTCTATCTCACAGTATATGAACATTAAACATGTATTATAAAACAAAGCAATAAAATAGGCTTCTTGATAGAAAAAAATATTTTATAATTTTCTTTTTTTTTATAGTGAAGATTAGCCCTATCTATCTATTGAACAACTGAAGGACTGCAACAACCTTACTTTCTTCAAATGCTGTCGACTAGACAGTCCAAACAACGGCCTCCTCAGCTTTCAGAAGTGCATTTCGGTCTCTAGAGCTTGGCTACTGCAAGGACAAAGATGACAGATCATAAAAGTACAGCTGAGAAGTGCAAAAATAGCTTATTAAATCCGTGGGGCTTCTGATAAAATGTCGACCGCAGTAAGAAGCTACATTAATAGAAACGTCAATGAAAGTGTATTGAACCAGAGCGCAAGGCAGGGCTTGAACAGCTGTGAAAGTGAGATCCTTGGCATTTCAGTATCTACGCGATCCTCTTTCCAAAAACAGAACACATCTATCTGTGTCGAACTTCGACAGCACTGGAACTCATATTGCAAAATTGACTTCTGTAAAGCACCAGTAATAAATAGGCTTGTAAAAAAACGACTCAAAGACACGCTGAATTCATTATGTTCCAAATAATGTACAATAATCAGGATCTCAACTGCGCAATTTACGACAGCGTAGATCTTTAAAAAAAAGGAGATCCGCATCCATAAAATGGCAACGGCACCTCCGTTTGGTAAAATATGGGTAGAAACAGCACCCTCAATTAAAGTCAAATAAATTAATGCAATTTGATAAAAGTAGATATATTTTATGAAATGGAGATTACAAATATTCTGTATCAAACGAATGTAATTTAGAGCGACTCCATGAACCTGATGTTCACGCTGATGTGTTTCTAGAGTGTTTGTGGCATAGTTTCACAGCGCTGAGGTTAAAAGGGCGTGACACCCAATGACAAAGTTGCATTCTCTGAGAAAGACACTGTGAAACACCCTGCCTCGACTCTAGACCCATATATCAGAATAGATGGTCGACTGAGGGCTAGTAATAGTCCACCGAGGAGCGATCAAACCCATCCAGGTGTCCGACCCCTGCGAACTGAACGCTACTGACATTGGCAGGGTGTGCTGGAGACGCTGGATGAGTGCTGGTGGATTTGGGTGCAGGCTGGGTCATCGCTGGCTACTCCATGATGGCTCGGTAGATGACGGGTTCGATGTAGTCGCCTCTGTACCTGGAGTTGATCACTCTCTGTCTCTTGCTCTCCTGGACCTTCTTCTCTCCAAACATGCCATCAAAACGCATGTCTGATGCCTTAGACTGAATCACACACATGCAAAAATCAGTGCATTAGTGCCCACCCACTTTCTCCAGAACCATTTTTTCCCCTTTCATATTTACCATAGGGATTTTAAATATAAACCATGAACCAAACCAATCAGCAACATGAAACTTTTGAAGCAAAAAGTATTTGAAATACTAAAAAAAAAAAAAAAAGTAGAAAACTGTGTGCTTAACGGCTTTAATGAGGGAAAGAACTACAATCCCATGAAGCAATGCAAGTGAAATGATCAAAGTAAAAATGAAGAAGAAATGTAAAACTATTCATTTAAAATGGTTGACTAACTATAGAAACGATATATTTTAAGTTTATACAAAATATACTGTATATGTACACAAATAGTTAAGTATTTTATTTGGTCACTGTGACTGATTGGTGGAATTTTCTGTACAGAATCATGGGTAATGTAGTTTTTCACCATAAATTCAACTGTTAACCATGATTATTTTAATAATAAGTTGCAATAATGTGGACTGATGGCCTCACCAAAAGCATATACCATCGAGAAACAACCACATAGCTCACAGTAGGAATGTGATAGTTAATACAAGTTATCTTTAAAAAATAATTTCCCCCATGGAGAAAATGAATGATTTTTTACTTCTGGACCACTCTATATGTAGAAAATATTGAATTATTAATTGTACTTGACAAGCTCAACAACTACAGAGAGCTGTTGTCACATCAATTTTTTTGTTTTTAGTATTTTTACTTGCAATGTCCCTAACATATGAGCTCACCAGACGAGATTTGACTCTCTTGGGCAGCTCTTCGTCTAGTGTGTAGACGTCATCTCTCTTAGCAGTCAGCTGCGATCCGTCCTCAAACTCCACCTGAAGAGAAGCAGTGATTTACTAAACGTCTAAACGCAGACTGAACCACTGGAACTCTTCTCTTAGACATTTACCTGGTACATCTGAATGACATGAGCTGCCACGAATTTGGCTCCATAGACAAGACCGTCTGTCCATCTGACCTGAACCACTTCCCCCTGCGGTGGAGGACCCAGCTGAGCGCAGTCTCGGTTCTACACCAAACCACGCAAAATACAATATTTATAAAATACAGCTTTTTAAATATACAGTATTTTGGAGCCAATCATACACTACCCTTCAAAAGTTTTGGGTCAGTTAGTGCTTTTGTGAAAGAAATTAATACTTTAATTAATCAGGGAGGCATTAAATTGTTCAAAAGTGACAGTAAATTCATTTATAATGTTACAAAAGATTTTTGTTTCAAGTAAATGGTGTTCTTTTGAACTTTCTATTCATCAAAGAATCAGATCTCACATCTTACCACAATGTCCTCTGGGAAAAGGTTATCACTGAAGGAGCCATCGTCAAAGTTGACCTCATAAAATGTCGCTTTTGTCAGCTGTATGACTTCACACTGGTAGTAGCGTCCATTTTTGTTCTTGCAGATGACCTTCTGACCCACGCTGAGCTCTCTCATGCCTGCTTTATTACGCTGCAGAGGAGAAAGAGAGAGATCACTCATCAAAGCAGCAACAAATATGATGGCAGTTCACAAAAGGGATGCACAATAATTGTTAAACAGTCATGATTATTTTGCACAAAAAATATAATTATTATTCACGGTCATTTTTACATTTCATCAGATTGAATGCACTTTCACATAAGCACAAATCAAGAGAATGTCAACTTGCATGCTTTGCTTGCAGATTTAGCTGCACAAACAGACTGGCTGCATTACACTTTTATTTGAGCAGAATATCTCAAAAGAGATTGCAAAACTCCATTGTACAAGTTTACTGGTGTTTTCAGTTCATATCATATTTTGCATTGTAGAGAGAATGTGTGTGAATGGTTTCCAGGTTGGAAAGATTAAGCAAAACACTGAGCAGAAAATGTATCACTTTAAACGAAAAGCTGTGAATGAGGGATTTAAAAAAAAAACTGTTGACATGTGGCAACTGCAACCATGAAAGCTTATGGATGCTTGTTATCAATTCAAGATAACGCAAATGCCAAATTAAAATGAAACATTTTCACGATCAATAACCAGTGGGTAAATACTGCAGACGATTCTGCATAATAAATCAAGAAAAAGCAAAAACTGTGATCATGATTAAAATACAATTTAAATCAAAGTGATACACTATTTATATTTGAGCAATGGTGGCGAGTCTTTGAGTGCACATTATGCAAATGGACACTGTTTTAAATGTATTATTTTTAATAATGGTTTGGAGAAAGAAAAAGCTATACATATTCTGTTCTATTTGAATACTTCAAAAAAAGCATGAAGAGGAAACAGGACGAGACTATTGGGTCAACTTGTAGAGCCACCTGTAGCAGCCACATTATAGTGCAGTCACATGTTACAGTGCACAGTCTCAGTGTTTCAGAGCGCAATACCTCCGATTGCACCGGCCCTTTGTGGCGGCAACAAGTGACATAGACGACGAAGGGCCAGTCGTCCGGGTGCATGATGACGCCGGCGGCCTGTGCGCAGGTCGGGTGATATGAGGTGGGGCAGCGACCATGAGAACACTGCACACAACAACCCAACGTTTTCTTCATCCGCCGTTTGCAGTAGTAGCATTTCTGTAAGCACATACAAGAGAGATTAGCTCACAGGAAGACGAGGAGGTCAGAGGAAGTGGGACAGGAGGAAAGGGCCCAGAGTGCAGATATAAATAACACTGTGACTGCTTACACCAAAGCACTTCAACATCCTGCAGTTACAATTTGCAGTCAAACGTGTTGTTCTGTTACACAAACGATGTACGACATGATTTACAACACATCGAGCTGTTGATTAATGGAGGTTTGGTGTGAAGCCATATCTCAGAGAAGTGAAATGTTGCAGTTTGAAAGGATGCCCAGTTTGCACGCTGCATGTTTTCTAGAGAAGGGAACAGAAACTCACCAGCTTGAATCTCTGTAAGGGAATGCCGCTGAGATCCACGGGCGATCGTTCAGCGATGTTCACAAAGCGCGCTTCCAGCACTGCCACTGCACACAGGACGTGAACCCATCTGCACACAGAGACACGTTAGGAACCTGGGATGATGATTTTTGCTAAGTATACAACATTAACTCGTCCCAAAGAAAACAGCAGGATGAATCTCACAAAACCTCTCAAGATCACATTTCACTGTTGAATCAAAACATAAAAATAAGCAATTATATATTACATTTAGGAAAATTGTATTTTTAGGACCACTTACATTTTTACAATGGAACATTGTTTTCTTGACAATAAAATAAGTTTCCTTCCTGAATTACTGTAATTTGTTGTTTTACCTTTGAGTCTTTTTGTAATTATCATAGGGGGTTTGGCACCGGAGGAACATTTAATAGCTCATATAACTATTGACAGAAATAACTGCTTTTTGATGTGTTTGCACCACAGGAACTGAAAATGATTTTAGTTATAGAAAAGCCTTTAAAGGGGGAACTAAATTAGCTCTTGCTTGAGAGTAGGTCTAACCCAACACAACAGAAACTACCAGTGACGCAAGTAAGTTGATTGGTCGTATCACCGCACCTTCCATTTATATATATTTATTTTTCTCTGTGATGAGGAAATATATATATATATTTTCTCCTTGTTTTTGCTGTTGTAATACAGTCGTAAAAAATTATGTTTAATTTAATTTAACCTAATTTCATTTGTGTTACCTGAGCATTCCTAATGACAGTTTGGGAGGTAAATTCTTGAGAGATTTTATGAACCTTGCGCAAGACAATGAATGATTCCTGTGATCTCAAACCAGAATTGCGTAATAAGTGAGATTACATGAAAACAAAAGGTCCTGGTTTGTCTAAAGCACACAAAATCCACAAAAACACACTTCTAACAATTCAAGATCTGGGTAACTTCTAGGTCAGGGGTCCGTGTGTTTCACGGGACATCAGTTCTGCCCTCTAGTGGACTTTCATTTTACTTACTTGCCATTATTGGCTCTGTGCAATGCTCCACCTCTCAACGAACACAGACAGCAACTCTGTCAAGAATCAAAGATTCAAACATCATCCATTTACAATACATCCTACTATATCAATGAACCAAGAGATGAAAGACCACTATGTGTTTAAAGCAGGTGCACAGTAGCCCAAAATTATTTGGACACTTAAGCCAGACTTAAAGCAGAAACAAGAAACATCAAGAAAATTTAAAGTCTCAATTAATTTGAAAGAAAAATATCTAAAAATCTGCTTTCATTGTATGGAAAAGCAAAAAATCCAACAAGTGAAAATGTCAAAGAAAGCCATACAGATTTCTAACATGCGAGTGAGTAAATGAGCACAGAATTTCTGGGTGAACTATTTTTGTAAGTGTCCAAATGATTTTTTGGGCCACTATATGTCAGGTTTAGGCTGTACCTCGGTGAGGGCGTTGGCTTTACAGCGGGCACATTTCCAGTCTTTGGAGACTCTCGCTGGAGCCACACCGTAACAACCTAGAGCAAACAGAGTGAATTAAACAGACCTCGGATTATTCAAACACACCCTTTACTGGCAAAATGTGTTGGAAACTATGATGAAATTCCTTATTTGTCCTCAGCATCATCGTGGGTGCATCTTGTAGTGAAGGAGTTTACATTCATGCAGGACACTTGTTCCCTAATAGCATATTTTCTTATTTAGAAAAAGCTTAATTTAAGGCATCATAATGGAAAGATAATACATTCTAGTCCATGTTATAACCAGACAAACTACACTACCGTGATTTTTTGAAGTCTTGTATGCTCACCAATACTACATTTATTTGATAAATGTAAAAACAGTAAAAATGTGAAATATTACTACAATTTAAAATAACTGTTTTCTATTTAAATATATTGTAAAATGTAATTTATTCCTGTGATCAAAGCTGAATTTTCAGCATCATTACTCCAGTCTTCAGTGTCACATGATCCTTCAGAAATCATTCTAATATGCTGATTTGCTGAAACATTTCTTATTATTTTCAATGTTGACAGTTGTGCCGTTTCATATTTTTGTGCAAAATGAGATATCATTTTTTCCCCAGGATTCTTTGATGAATAGACAGTTCAAAAGAACAGAATATAATCTACACATAAAGATGAAATGAACATATGACTCCCTTTTTGATCAGGCACCACAAACAGCTAGTCGATGAGGGGAAAAACCAGTATTGTGATAGTCCGGGTTGTCAGGTCAGTACTCACTAGTGTGCACACGGACACTGCACAGGGAGCAGCTGATGAGCAGACTGGTGCCGTCCTCCTCCAGGTGAGGTGTGGACGGCTGGACGTCTGCACTGTCCTCGGTGGTGGTGGTGAAACATCTCTCTGGAATCAGAGGCTTGGTCCTCATCTGACCCCCGGGCAGCACCACGGCCGGCTCGCTCTCGGCCCCTTCAGACTGAACACAAACACATACACAGGACGTCGTACAGGAAAGCACAGGAAGTGTCAGACACTTGATATACTCAGTGACAGGAAACAGATAAACACAGATCTCTGAACCAGGCCGGCGTACCCGCTGATGTGCCTGGAAGAGCGCGCACACAGCGCAGTACGGAGGCCGCAGACCCATCTCTCTGTTGTACTCTCTCTCTCTTTCTGGATTATACGGTCTGTTCTGCCACAGCTGGGCCAAAGGTCGCGCCCAGGCCTCCCCGTCCAGCCCGTCCTCCTCTGACGCAGCCTGATCCTGCAGCTCTGCACATGCACATACAATCCATCACATTACATCATCCTTCATTCAGAAGATGCTTTTGCAATGTGATTTACGTTACATTTTCTATTGTTATAATACTTGGTATTCCAGTTAAATGCGCAGTGGCTGGCAACTGAATAAAGCATTCATATGGCAACTTCCTGAAGAGTCCAACACTGTGACTGTGTGGAACATTTCAACATTGCTCTGTTTGAGTAACCCAACATTGCAACAACAATTAAACAAATTGCATTGACTTTAGGGCAGGACTGACATTTTGCACATTGTGCAAACATTTGTCATTCTGTTTGGTGGTGCTAGTGCGCAGAAATTACGCACTTCACACACTTCTGACATATTTTAGACTACATTGAATATTCTGTGAAAAAAATGATGTGGGGCGCACACACAAATATATATTATATACAAATTATAAAGCAGAAGTTTGCAAAGTACTGAGATTTTAGTGGACATATGTAGGCAGTGCATTGATCTGAAAAGTGGTCCATTGCACTAATGACAGATCACACATCAGTGTTAACTTAGCATTATATAAATGCTGTTTTTGTATATATTAATATTTTTAATTAGCTTTTATTTTTAGATGTTCAGTATTCATTTTAATTTTAGTTTGACTGATTTTGTTGTGAAGTTTTTCATCTAATATTTCTATTTTGTTTCAGCTTTATTTCAATTATGATTTTTAATGATTTATTAACAATAAAATGTTATAATGGTTTTAGTTAACAATAACAACACTGCCACAAACTGACCTTCGTCACTGATGCTGTCCTTCATCAGAGGATGGTGCCTGGGGAGTCTGGGAAGTCTGTGCTGAGCTTCCACTGGGTGTTCAGCTTCTTTCTGCAGGACAACACAAACTCACACTTATTACACACAGCCACACACACAGCCACACACACACACACACACACACACACACACACAATACAACAGGGTTTCCCAAACAAGAGCTCGCAAACCCCTAGTGATTCATGATGGAACTGCATTTGGTTTGTGATGTGATAGAAATACCCAAT